CAGAAACTATACATGGCAGTTCAACTCTGCCCTATAGGGTTGCTAGGAATCAGAATCAACACAGTGACAATGGGTGGCTGTGGATCCATTTTAAAATAGGAAATGTGTGTACTTTTCATTTTGTTCGTACTAAAATTTTGTTCGTACTAAAAGAACGATAACTTTGAGTCTATATTTTGAAGGATAGGGAGATACTTACTCTCATTGTATCAGTTTCAAGAGGGAATTAGGCACATAATAATTTCTATTTAGGATAGACACTTGGACAGTGCAGTGACAACAGCCATTAGTCATGGTGATCTATCTGGAGTGGAGAAATTGCATTGACTTGAATTATGGTGCTGGTCTAACAACAAACTAGCTGTACAAACTAGTAAATTCATGTCTCTGTCAAATGAAGTCCTTAGCAGTTCTGATATAAAATAGTTCTGTGTATTGGTTAAACATTTCCACTTTAGTATCCAGTTGACAGAATTTGGTTATATGAACTTTTCCTTGCAGAGAAAGCTGTAATTCTATAATGCAGGCAGAACTAATCACATCAAAGCACCAGGCATTTTATACAATGGGCTTCATGTTCCACTTCTCATTTCTGTCTTAGCCATAATGTTAGAGCTCTGTCAGCACTCAACGACCACGCCACACACCAGGGTACCCAACAGAAGATTTTATTAAAGAGGCGAAAGGGCGCCTGCACTGAGGAAGGACAGAAGAAGAGAGAGAGGAAGAGGGTGGTCTTATATAGACCTGGGGTTAGGAGGTTGTACATCAGAGCTGGGGGAAGAGGTCTTAACCTATCAGAGGCTATGTTGCCTTTTAAAATACGCGCCTTGCAGGAAGCTCAGTTTCGACTTCCTTTAACTGACTTATGACCTTGGGCAGGGCATCAGGGAATGAAGAAGAACCCAGAAGAGCCATGCAAGATGGTGTGGCATATCTCTAACACATAATCCATTCAAACAGAATTTAGTGCCTCGCCTCTTAATTAAATGCCAAAATGAAGTCTCTCTCTTCCTCTCAATCTTCCTCTCAAATCCACACACATTGATTGATCAACATTGTTTTAGTTGTTATTGAGTGAATTCTGACAATTCTGACTTATGGAGACCTCGTGTGTCAGAATAGGACTATGTTCTATTGCATTTTCAATGGCTTATTATTTTAGATTGCCAGGTTTTCTTCTGATGTGCTTTTGGGTGGACTTGAACCTGAAAACTTCCAGTTAATATTTGCACTACCTGAGGACTCCCTGATCAACATTAAACCCATTGCTAACCCATTGCTGTCTTCATAAGGATAGACTAGAACTGCCCCACTAAAGTTTTCAAGGCTTTAATCTTTATGGAAACAGACACCCAAATCTTTTTCTTGGAGTGTCTGGTGGTTTCAAACCACTGACCTTTTGGTTAGCATCCATGCCCTTAACTTCTGCACCATCAGAGCTCCTTCTGATCAACATATCAGAGCGTAAGGAGCGTAAGATGAGACTCTCTGAGATACGGATTTAGCTTTTGGTTGATCTATTCAGAACATAGATCTCCTACACCTGTGCTGACCAAAGATTTCTTTGGTCCATAGTGAAATGATAAAAATTTAAATTAGTAAAATTTGGGTGTGAGAAAAAAAAACTATGAAATGTAACTCTTTGGCAATCTTTTACCTGTAGTGGCAAGTATTTTCTTCATAAAGTTATTGCGGAGCAATAAATGTTCCAGATATGTTAAGACTCTCATTTTCTTCAGCTTCTTATATTCTGTTACAGGTTTAAAAAGGTGCCCCATGTTTCTGGGGAAAGACAAATCTTTGCAAATATGCCACTTTTCCTTTAAATCTTGAGATTTTTAAACTAAGCTAACTATGGTGCAGTAGTTAAAGCATTTAGCTCCTACCAAAGGGTATATGGTTCAAAATCCACCAGCTGCTCCATGCTAGCTACTAGCTAGATAGAAAGTAGAGACAGTCTGCTTCCATAAACATTTACAGCCTTGGAAGAAAGACCCGGTAACCTACTTTTGAAAATCAGCCATTGTAAACCACTTGTACTCTTACATATGTGGGTTGCCATGAGTTGGGACTGACTCCATGGCAACTGGTTTGGTAAAGGATCCTGCCTTCTCTTTAATAGTATGAAAGTATGAAATTAAGCCCTAAGCCCAAGAAATGCTGATCCCTCTTGGATAAAATGGACTGGGAATTCCACTCAGTTAAATACACACAAGCACCCACAAATGTGGATTCCAGTGTAAGAGTTAATGATACCTTCACCTGGGAATGAGTCATACATACATAATGCTCCTGATCTCACGAAGTCTGATGAAGCTTATGTTGCTTAGCAGCTGCAATCCTTTTTTGAGCAATAGAGTACAAGGTCATTCAAGTTTCACTATTCTTAGTGAAGGAAGATAACTACAGATAACTGATACAGGCAGATTTCTATTAATAGCAGTTATGTTTTAGAGGAATAAAACAAAGTAATATGTTTCACCTATGACTAATTATTAAATTAAAATAGTAACTTTTAGTTACTGGAATGTATTCAGAGAGCTAAAAAATTTTATGAGAGAATTTTTACTCAGCTTCATCTTTACTTGAGATATTAACTAAAATTAATCTTTTTATACTGAACTCTCATCAAAATGAGTAAGATTCTCAGGAGCCATATCTTTTATAAAGCGGGAGAAGCGATACACCTGGATCTAAAAATGTATATTTGCTTTTAAAATCATTATACTAATCAAATTTAAATTTGTTACATTAAATATATCTTTCAAAAATAAAAAGTAGTATGGGTGGAGACATACTATTCTAGATTATTAAACATTGTATAGCTTAATACAGTTTTAGTGCAATTCCAATCAAAATCCCAGTGAGAAAATCCTAGTGAGATTTTGAGATTTAGATTTTTTTCTTTTCACATTATGCCAGAATTGGTTTCTAAAATTTACCCTGAAGAATAAACTGGAGAATAATGAAGGAAAACTTTCTCCACTGGGTTTCAAAGTGTTCTATAGATCATTTAATTATCCAACTGTGTTGTGATGTTGGATATGAAAAATACAGCATTGGAAGTAACAGGGAAAGGTAGGAACCTAGGAACTATTTAAGAATATTGGTCAACATTTTTTTTTGGGGGGGGGGGGAACAAAGCTGGATCTTTGCTCTGTCCTTTTCACTGAAATCACTCTCAATCCCCTCCTGTGCAGCAATCCCTCACAGCACACAGAACTTAACATTACCTGACATTTTTCTTTACTAGACTGCAAGCTCCCAAAAAATGCAGACATCCAAAGCAATCTTATAAATGGTTTTCAATATTTTTTGAATGAATGAATAAAAGGGAACAAAGGAAATAAAAGGGAACAAAGGAAAAATATGTAACCTGGGAGTGATAACAAAAACCAACTGGGGGGGCTAGTTTTTGCCCATTCCACTATTCTAAGTCCAGCTCAGCCTGGGGACCTATGCTGGGTAATGAAAAGATTTCTCTCTTTTCTGGGCTTTCAAAGTTGCCCTTTACAAAACCAAAACCAGTTGGGACTCAGAGAAACCACAAAAACTCAAAGGCTCAATTAATTCAGAGTAGAGTTAAGGCTCAATCTTATCTATTAAGAGCTGTGTCTTGAAATGTGAAAAAAGTAAATGAATGCTTCTTATATCAACACTTCCTATACCAACATTAGTCTTTCAAGATTCAGCTAGTGATTTTTATTTTACTGTTAGCACGACATTCTATCCTGTTTTTCAGATGAGACAACATCATATATTACCTATTACCTATTTCTTTGGCTAAAAATTGACTTGATTTCTTGATGTATGCATTAAAATTTTCCAAGATTGTAAGCAAGCACCCAACAATCAACAATACTGCCTAGTTGATTCTAACTCATGTTGTTGTTGTTAAGTGCCGTCGAGTCGTTTCCGACTCACAGCGACCCCATGCACAGCAGAACGAAACACTGCCCGATCCCGCGCCAGCCCCACAATCCCTGCTATACTTGAGCCCATCATCACAGCCACTGTATCAATCCATCCATCACAGCCACTGTATCAATCCATCTCCCTGAAGGCCTCCCCCTCTTTCGTCGACCCTCCACCCTACCAAGCATGACATCCTTCTCCAGGGAATGGTCCCTTCTTACAACATGACCAAAATAGGTGAGACGAAGTCTGGCCATTCTTGCTTCCAAGGAGCATTCTGGCTGCACTTCCTCCAGGATAGATCTGTTAGTTCTTCTAGCAGTCCATGGTACTTTCAGCATTCTCCGCCAGCACCACAACTTAAAAGCATCAACTCTTCTTTGGTCTTCCTTATTCATTGTCCAGCTCTCACATGCATATGAGGCGATTGGAAATATCGTGGCTTGTGTCAGGCGCACCTTAGTCCTCAATGAGATATCCTTACTCCTCAGCACTTGAGACAGTTCCTTCGCAGTTGAAGTTGACTTTCCCAATGCTACACGTCGTCTAATGTCCTGAACTGCTGCTTCCGTTGGCATCGATCGTAGAACCAAGCAACGTGAATTCCTTGACAACCTCAATCTTCTCTCCATTGATTGTGATGCTGCTCATTGGTCCAGTTGTGAGGATTTTTGTTTCTTTATGTTGAGATGAATAGCAAAGACACACTGTTTGGTACATTCTAACTCACAGCTACCCTATAATAGGGTAGAGTAGAACTTCCCTATAAGGCTTCTAAGGCTGTAATCTTTATGGAAGCAGACTGTCAGTCTCCCACAGAGTGGTTGGTGGGTTGAAACTGCTGACCTATTGGTTAGCAGTCAGGCCCTTTAACCACTGTGCCACCAGAGCTTGCAAGGTTCTAATCATAGACGATATGAAACACATCTCTAAACTCTTAGAGGGGGCTTCTTTGCATTATTCAATCAAGTATTTTCAAAATAGCTACAACAGGCTTAAAACAAGAAAATGCCATTCTGTCATTCTTCCTTTTGGGTAACAAGTTTTGATTGGCAATTAGGAGGAAACAAAATTTAACTTACCGAGGGTGGGATCATATTCCCAGATGAACCGTTTGGTCAGAAATCTCACCACAAGAGCTGTGGAAGAAAAGTAAAGTTTGAAACATGTTTGTTTTCTATTTCCTTTGTACTGGTGTATATACTCCCATGGGCATCACCCAATTAAGGTATTTGTCTTTATCAATTTCATATTGTGGCCTAAAAAATTACCACAATGTGAATATTCTCAAGTAATAAATTTTCAGCAAAACACTGAATTCAGATAAAAAGCATCATGATATAAAAAAGCATCACAGAATATGGGTCTATAGCTTGAACACTGTAATGCTTGGCAAAGATGCATTAGAAATGTGATAATTTATACCATAATGAAAAGAGTGGTTCATTAAGGCTCATCAAGACCCAAAAAACCCAGAGCCATTGAGTGGATTCCAACTCATCACATCTCTATGGGACAGAGTAGAACTGTCCCATAGGGTTTCTAAGCCTGTAAGCTCTTCAAAGGTGACACTATTTATTATGGGACTGTGCTGTTGTTGTTATGTGCCATCAATTTGGACCCGACTCATAGCAACCCCTCCCCTGGGTTTCCGAGGCAGTATCACTACGGAAGTAGATTGCCCAACCTTCCTTCTGAGCTATAGGACTGTGCTAAGCACTTTATCTTCATGGTCTCCTTCCATCCTCACTTCATCCCTACAACTGTTCTCATTTTTCATAGAAGGAAACTGAGGCTCTGAGAGGTAATTTAACTGGTATCACATAGTTAGTAGTCAAGTCACAATTTGAACTTAGTAAGTCTGTTTCCAAAGCCTGCAATTTATCCATTGTTTAAGGCTAGGCCATCTGGATAATATTGAACTGATGATGGAATAAAGGAAAAGAAGCACTAAAATCTGTAGAACATTTCCTTATGTGTCCATATAGTTGAAAACCCTGGTTTTTCATCAGTATTTTTTTTTTTTTTTGGAGGGGGGAGGCAAAGACCCTTGAGAAATGTGCATACACACAGTCTGACATACCATTTTGTCAGGCTCATGAGATGAGCCCTCTGAAGACACCCGATGGTCTCCCTGGGGTCCCATTGACCCAGCTGGGGAATGCTAATCATTTCTATTTTCACTGAAATGTCCTGTATATTGTAGTCTAAAGATATTCCGTGAAGAAATAAGACTAGTTAGTTGAAGGTTATTTCTAGTCTGCCCTTTGTCTATGGCCACTGTTTGGATCCAAAGAGGTATATTCCTCCTCCCAGAGTGTTTTATATATGAGAGGTGGCAGCAGAAATAGAAATGCAGAGAAATTTGTAAAATAGATCACAAACATGACTAACTCTGCTACTGGTGGCTTGAGACTAAAAGTGGTAATGTTCTAATTAGAGGTTGGATTTGTTGGATTTGAGCCAAAATATTTGCAGTGCCTGAAGTACCAAGGCCACTGACCCTGTAAAACTTCCCACAGTGAACACACTTGTGGTTTCTGTTCTACTCTCTTGAGACTTTTTAAATTAGTAATATTAGTACACGTAACTGCCTGAAGTAGTCAGACAGTTTCATCTTTGGTTTGAATTTGTTATTTTAACTCTAAAAACCATAACCTAGAAAAATTCATTTATTTAGAATCTTCATTGTTTTTTAAAGATAATTTAAGATTGAAGTTCCCCAATTCCAAAACTATTTAAGCTTTAATCATTTTTCAAAGAAATATTTCTAAAATGTGTTAGATAGCCCATTGCCTTTCGAAGTTGAGGATATGTAACTGTCTCATTTAAAAATTCTCTAGATCTTAGTTAAAATCCTTGATTAGTACCCTAAGTAGTTATGTGACAATACTCCTAGAAACTGTAGAATAGATTAGGCAAATATCCTCCCTCAAATACCAAAGCTGTTTCCTTTTGCTGTGGTCGCTGTGTCTACCTCTCATAACCCATCTGGATAATCCATACTAACAAGTCTATTAGAATTGTGTCTAATACGGGAGTTAATTCGTTCTGGGGTTAGGTTCTACATAGCTTATTCTATTAATATAAACATTATTCCTGGTGAGCCTTTAGAACAATAATCCAGGAGTCAGCAACATTGTCTCTGTTCCAGACAGCTGACCACATAAAATAACCTCCTTCCAGCTAGGCAGCATGGCTGCCTTAATCAATGAAATCAATTCTAACATTTAGGATGTTCTTTTCCAGCAGACACTCAAATTGTTATTTTTTCAAATGCATTAAAAAACATCAAAAACCACTTTGAAAGATTACATGTTAAATGTACATTCTTTCAAGATGTTTTTTACATTTCTCACATTTTTATAGAAAAGTCAAATCCATTTTCTACATTTTCAATAGTTTAAAGTTATTAGTCTAAAAAATAAAAATATTACATCTGTGGGAGTTCTTTCTATTAAAGGCTGTATTACTTAAACGACATTCACCAGTATACTAATGCAATTGTAATAACATTTAGTCCAAATTTTACTATGATTTCTTATAGAACGATTTTCATATAAACTATCTCATGTTTTTGCCCTCAAATGCTCCCTGACCTCATCAAACAAATATTTATCAAGCGTCTACTCTATACAAGGTACTTGGAATAATTTGACCAACAACTCAGATAAAGGTCTCTAACCTTATGGATCTCATATTTTAGTAGGAGACAGAAAGGAATAGTAAGCATAATAAGTATGTTAAAAGTGTAAGTGTTATGGAAAAAAAGAAGTAGAACAAGGTAAGGGATAGGGCATTGGGGGATGAGAGAATGACAGCTGTGATTTAAGAGAGGATGGCTTAACTCCAAGCCTCACTGAGAAGGTGGTATCTGGGAAAACATTTCAGGCAGAGAAAACACCCAGTTCAAAACCCTTAAGGCAGGAGTATGTACTTGGTTATGCTCAAGTAACATTAAGCAGGTCAGTTTGGCTAAAACAAAATGAGCAAGAGTGAGTACATTAGCAATGATGCACTCTACAAATATCATCAACTGAAATGCTTCTATTATTTATTTTTCCCTGACTACTTCATTTGAATGTACACTCCATGAGGCCATAGATTGTTTTTTTCATCAGTTTTCCAGTGTCTACAGTACTATATGCCATAGACTTGAGAAAAATATGCCAATCCATTTCACAGCTCACTCTTCAACAGTTAAATAATAACCGAGCATTGAGAAAATAAGCAGAAAAGTTAGAGAATTCACAGCACAGCCATGAGATCTTTCCATGTTTTTTCTTGAAAGGTTATATGAATATATAATCTGAAATGCCTTATTATAGCTATTGTATGGCATTACACAAATTATACTTCCAAACTTTATTAAAATGGTTACTACAAAAAAAGATTTAATTTTCTTTTAAAATTAAAAGGTGACATTGATAATCTTTACTTCCACCAGATGTCTGATTTAAGGTTTTTTTTTCCTTCAGAAATATTCAGGTTAGATATATCTGATTGGTTACAGTTAAACCTCTGTATTTGAATTCCGCCCCCCCCCCCCCACCATTTCCATTGCCTACAAAAACCACTTTCCACTAAACTAGCCAAATACGTTTCATGGTAATCTATACAGAACATTTTTCTCATTTTTTTTTTTCTAATTTATAACTTACTTGGATAATTCTTCATCATATGTGTTTCATTTTTGATATTACTGGCCTGGTAAGGATTGAAATTATTAATGAAAGCCAGTTTCTAAGAAAATGGAAAATTCTCTAAGCAGTATTTAATCAAAGGAAACACTTTTTAAAGTGACATCAATGTAATAATAATTCAATGGAAAAACATTCCACTTGTAAGAGCTAAAAGGCAAAGTTAATATTTAGAAATAGCATGATGATTTTAATGTAGCAGCTCTGGACTGGTTATGCAAAATAATAACATCATTAGCAAGGAGACGCAGATATCAGAATTGCCAGTTATAATGATCAGAATAATAGTTGTGCATTAAAAGTGATTAGATAATATCTGTATCATCAATTTTTCAAGGAATATTAATTGACACACATGAAATGCTTGCACTCTAAAAAAAATTAGACAAACTTGAGGCTCAGAAATTACAAACGTTACTTTTTATATTAAAAATAAAGTTTATAAATTCAATGGAAAACCAATTTGCTCTGTAAACTTTCACCCAAATCACAATTTTTAAAAACTCCCTTATATTTTTTTCACTTACACAATTCATGAAATAACCTGATTATCGATCATACAATTGTTTTGTTAGAAAAAAGAAAAAGCAGAAAGAACACCAGATGTTTACCTGTGCTTTACTATGTGAAGGCATTTAGCTCCTACCAACCTTACTTGCCAAAAATGAAGATAACTTGAAACACTTCCTGATGAAGGTCAAAGACCACAGCCTGATTATGAAGCTAATTAAAATCCCCACAACAGGAACAATAAACACCATCAGACAAATGGAGAACAAATAGAAATTGACAATGCTTCATTCTACTTCGATTAACAATTGACGTCCATGCAAGCAGCAGTAAAGAAATCAAAGGCTGAATTACAATGGGGAGATCTGTTGCAAAAATGTCTTTAAAGTTTTAAAAAGTAAAGATGTCACTTTGATGACTAAGGGGCACCTGACTCAACCCATGGTCTTTTCAGTAGCTTTATAAGCATGCAGGAGTGGGATTCTGAAAAAGGAAGACAGAAGAAGAACTGATAACATTTGATTTGTGGTGTTAGTGAAGAATGCTGATTATACCATGGACTGCCAGAAGAATGAACAAATCAGTGTTAGAAGAAATACAACCATTAATGTTTCTTAGAAGTCAGAATGGTGAGACTTCAACATGCTTACTTTAGACACATCATCAGGAAAGAGCAATCACTAGAAAAGGGCATCAGCATCATGTTTGGTAAAGTAGTGTTTCAGTGAAAACAAGGGAACCCTTCAATGAGATCAATGATAATGTGATGGCTCAGGACTGGGGCTCAGGACTGGATAACATTTCAATCTGAAGGTTGCTGTGAGTCCAAGCTGACTTATTGGCAACTAACAACCTGTGATGTAAAGTTTTTTTTTTTTTCCTTGTCTATTATAAAATGTACAACTATGTTGTAAATATTCATCCCCCCC